TAAATACTTTTATAACTTCTTGAATAAAAAGATTCAGGAATAAAAAAGGTAAGCCATGGTTTCAAAAGCACGTAATAAAGGTTTTAATTATTTTGAATATGAATGATATATCCAAGTATATTTGGAGTTAAACAATTTCTCTAAATATACTATTTTTCTTGTTGTAAATTTTCATTTTTTTTTGTCTAATCTAAATTGAATATTTTCCTTTCCCAAGTACATTAACAAAATCGTTATGATCCAACCTTTAGGATTTATTTTACACAAAAAGCAAACGCTATTCTAAGCCATTAACAGTTTTATTTTCGTGTATTTATGAGCAACTTTCACTTATGTTTTCAATAATTACATCAGTCACTGTATTTTTCACTAAATGAACTGAGTGCAAAGATTTTCTTTTTAACTGAAGATATATGCTGTTCATAAGTGTTAATATTATAAATATACATAAATCATTATAGTTTTTTAAAACCAAGTATGTGTAAACATGCTTACAATAAATAAATCTGGGTTAAGCAACTATTCTTATTTTACAACAGTCCAACTCTTATTGTTGAGTTATACTTATTTAAGAGCTATTATACTTAACACTTTTGAACTCATAAGTTATGTTCTTTTATATATTAGAGCAGTTTGAAAAGTAAAACCTGTAGTGTTTTTTTACATACAACAAAATTTTATATATATATTTATGACCCAATCTTTAAAACAATGTGAGTGAGATGATAAATAAAATTTTCAACTTAAAAAAGTAACCAAAGAATTAACAATTCAAGTATACTGGAATTTCCACTTTTTTACTTGGAGCAACAAATATCTTTTTCTTACAATTCCTACAGCAACGTTATTTCAAATGTTAAAAATTTTTTTACCATTAGATAATACAGAATCTACACAAAACTCAGTACTTTGTGGCCTCTACAAACACAACCATTTGACCTTGGATTTTGACTATGAATAACTACAAGAAATATTGTTAATAAAAGTTAATTTGACAAAAACATTTCATCAGAATTCTTGAAATGTTTGAAATATAGTTGATAATGTGAAGAATTAAAAAGAAAGTTTGCACCTAAAGTGATAAATACCAAATAAAAATTACAATATATACACACACACAGAAGGTGAAAAGTTTATAATAAAAGTTAAACATTTACAATACTGGAAGGTACCTGTTCAACACAGGTGTTTTCGATTTTCAATATATACATATTAATTTTATAAATGTCATTCTTTTCTGGTTACTTAGAATCACTTCACTTGTGACTAGAGTTGGGTCTTGCCAGATCATTCTGAGAACAAAGAGGGAAAACATGACAAATATGATCACTTAAGAATTTACAATGCCAGTCTCTGGAACATCAAGATGTAGATATTGGGCAACAAAGACTCTGAGGATTTTGTTAAGGTTGTTTATGGTTGGGTGATGCAGGTGCTCTCGGTCATCAATGTCCCGATGCCAAATATATGGAAAAGGACTTGGAATCAAATGTACAACAGAAACACCTGAGAAAAATATATAAAAATTGTGACATAAATCTACAAAGCCAGATATTCTGTTAGTAAATGTTATTTAAATGTACCTGAATAAAATGTAGATACAGCTATGGTGAGTAAAAATAGGTATGGCTTCCTAATCAGTGATTTTTACTAGGATTCTTCAGAACCATATATTCCCACTTTGATCTACCATCTTAATAACAGAAGAACTTGATTAACACCAAAAAATGTTTATATGCATGATAATGAACTAATGTGCGACTGTTTTTTTTGCTTCAGAATATTCTTATAACTTGAACAAAGATACAAGGAACTGAATGAAGCTTTTGAAGACATACTTCACAAACAGGTTAAACATTTTATAACATGAAAAACGTATAAAATATCACTTTTGAACACTTCAAAATATTCCTCCACAAAAGTTAATAACTAAATATATTTTGAAGTTAATTCTTAGAGTTTATGTAAGTATTCCATTGTGTTTTTGAAGCTATTTCTAATATTTATAAGCAGTTAGAGTTGATTAACAGCTATTAAGTTGCCAATACCAACTGGAATATTGCCAAGTTATGTAGTTTGGTTTATGACCCAGAGAAATCAACATATTGAAGTCTGATACAACACCTACAGTGACATTTGCTATATCATAACTTCATGTACTTTTAAAAATACCCATTACATCTACAAATAAGTCATATATTCTTTTATACATTAGTAAAATAAAAAACACATTGCTTTTTAGAGTTGATAACTTTAAATTTTTTATAACAAATTATTCATTATTTACAGAGAACAAAATAAAAGGTTTCCAAATGCTGCATAAGGCATCATTATGAGGTGTAAAATTTAAGCTAATACTAAAATGAAGTACTGAATAATTTCTGCTAAGCCTCAAATTATCACACCTCTATTTAGTTGAATGACATAGAAAATTAATATATTATTATTTCAAGCACACTTCTTGAATATTAAGATGTTTTTCTTGAGTTTGTTTTAATATCTTAATGTCACTGCTATTTGGTGTTGTAATTAGTTTTCTACTGTGTTGTAGAAAAAATTCTAATTTGGACAATAACAGAACGCCATTCAAGAAATTAGAAAGATAAACATTTTTTTAAAATCAACCTTAATGAAGATGGTTCCTCCACCTCAGTAATATCTTGCCCATTTCAACACACACAAAAAACACATGAAATGAATGCATTGAATAATTTCATATTAATATTTTAAATGATTAAACATTCAAAAATAAACTTATCTTACCTCTTTTCAAAAATGGGACATGATCATCTTGTACAAAAGAAAACAAGTTAATGTTTTTGAAATAGCTTGTAGCTAATTGCTGAGGTAAGACTTCAAGTTTTTTCATGTCATTTAGACGTTGCTCTGCAAGAAAAAACTAAATCAGTACAATGCAGGTAAAAAAAAGAAGACTAGAAATGCAACAATATATAGTGTGAATGTTAAAAACAAACAAGGAAAACAGTGCAGAAAAACAAGAACTACCAATTTGATGTCAAAAATGACATTAACATCAAAGATGAAAAAGCATTCTTGAATTTCATTGTAACATCTAAAAAAATGCTTGTCGTCACATTGCTTTAAATGCTACTATTCTTTGTATAGTTTGACATGACACTGTTTAGATGCAATGAATATACAGATATATAATAATTGCATCAAAAGTAAAAGAAAAACTTAAGGAATTAGGAATAACAGAAGTTAATACATTTGTAGTACTACCTAACACAAAATTAAATTGTGTTTTTATAGGTTTTAGTGTATTTTTTGTGTACTATCCAAATGCCAGTTGAAATAAATATATTTATGCACATGGAAAAATAAGGGAGTTATATCCACCTTTTGCATATGATATTGCAAATGAATGCATTCCAGTTACACAGTCATTCTTTATAATATGTAAAAAAAAAAAAAGTAGATGCATATTTTGTATGTAAAGCCATGTGTGAGTGTGTGTGTTAATATTATATATATACACACACACACACACACATCGCTTTACACATAAAAATGAGGTACTAAAGGGTTAAATAATGTCAAATAATACTTTTGTGATACTTCTGCTATTTCATTTGCATATCTTTTAACACATTATTGTCACCTAATATCTAAAATGCTTGTGTCCATAAAAGATAAAATTTGTCTTTACTTACTAATGATTATTTATGAACAGAAATAGGAAGAAAGTAATTAAAGAGTCATACTCAGTTTTTGTCATATTCTTGAGCATATAAAATGTACATACAAATAAAATGGATATACTTTCTTAGAGAGAGAGAGAGATTATCAGACAATAAGCATCAGAAATAGGGTATTGGGTTGTATAAAAGTGACAGAGTCCACAAAATTTTTGAAATTTTGAAAGATGGTAAACTTATTAAATTATGTTCTCTTCAGTTTTTATGAAGGAAGAAATAAGTATTATGCCTCAACCAGAGTACTTAATGTATGGGAAAATATCATTTTAAGATCTGAAATGTTAAGAGAAAAGTTAGGAAACCTAAAAATTTATAAGTCCCTTGGACCAGACAACTTTTATTCTAGAGTTTTAAAGGAACTTAAATATTTTATTTGTGAACTGCTAGCTTATATTTTTTTATAGGTCATTGAGTAGTGGAAGAGTATTAGAAGATTGGAAGTTGGTTAATCTTAGTCCAATATTTAAAGGAGGTGATAAACATTGTCCAGGCAATTATAGGCCAGGTAGTTTTACATCAGTAGTTGGAAAGGTTTTGGAGAGTGTGATTAACGATGCATTGCAGAGTCACTTAAAGCAGTTTGATAGTGTCAAAGTGCCAGCATAATTTCACTAAGAGAAAATCTTCTTTAACAAATCTTCTGACATTCTTTGAGGATGTCTCTGCAAGAGTTGATGAAGAAAATATTGTGGATTTGGATTACCTTGATTTTCAGAAAGCATTTGATAAGGTGCCTCACAAAAGACTTGTTACAAAAATTAAATCTGTGAGTGTGGGGGAAATGTTATTAAATTAGATAGAAAATTGGTTGGAGAGTAAAAAGCAGAGAGCAGTAATAAATGGAGTTAGATTTGACTGGATCACAGTTACAAGTGGTGCACCTCAGGGCTCTGTGCTGGATTCTCTGCTGTTTGTGATTTATATTAATGATATTGAATGACTAACAAAAAGTTGAAGTTTGCAGATTACATTAAGATTTTTGGAGTGGCTAACTGTATCAAAGATGCTACAGACTTACAGGGAAATTTAAATCATTTGATGCATTGGGCCAATATGTGGCAGATGACGTTTAACGATCCAAAATGTAAGGTGATGCATGTAGATTTTCACAATTCAAATTATTGTTATGATTTAAATGGGAATACAATAAATACCGTGGTTCAAGAAAAAAAATCTTAGTGTTGTGATCGAAAAATCACTTAAGTCATCTAAACAGTGTATTGTACCTAGCAATAGGATTTTGGGTAGCATCTATAGAAATATTGAATACAAGACAAAGGATATTATTGTTTCACTGTATAGATCACTTGTAAGGCTTCATTTACAGTACTGTGTACAATATTGGTCTCCCTCTCTTCAAGAAGGACATTGAATTTTTGGAGAAGGTTCAGAGAAGAGCCACTAGGATGATACCTGGGATGGTGGGATTGTCCTATGAGGAGG